GCAGGGGCACATGGGAGCTAGGGATAATTTTCCTGTGGCTGCAGCTGGCCTCATAGGGCTGGGGATGCCCACCTGGCCCTTTTAGGAACAATCCAAGCCCACTGGGCAGTGCCTGGATGGGGAGGAGTCTGATGGGGGAGGAGCCAGACATCAGGGTGGGTGTACCTTTAAGAAGCCTGTAAGGGAAGCAATGGATTCCTGGTACTCGCTCTCCCCTTTGGGCTTGATTCTGACTCAGTGATCCTGTAGCACTGCCCCATTTGGGTCTCCGAGGCTGTAGATATTTACAGGAAGAGAAAAGTCTAATCTTCCTCCCGCAGAGTGGCTGGTGGGTTTCAACTGTTGACCTCCCTGTTATCCACAAGGCCACTATAGCTACGGATTGCTGGCTCAGGGCCTGAGGAATCCGAAGAGGTGAGCGGGAATACCTGACTGGGTCTACTTGGAAACCCTGAGCTAGACCCGGCAGGGTAGGCTTTGAAAGGCTGTTGAGAGTAGCAGGGGCTATGGTGAAAAGAAAAAAACAAAACAAAAACATGCTGAGATTTAAAAAAAATCATTTTATTGGGGGCTCATACAACTCTTATCACAATTCATCTATCCATTATGTCAAGCACATTTGTACATTTGTTGCCATCATCATTCTCAAAATTTTTGCTTTCTACTTGAGCCCTTGGTATCAGCTCATTTTTTGCCATGCTGAGATTTTTAAAGTCAAAAACACCTGTTGGAATCTTGGCTCCAGCGAGATGACTTTGGGCTGCTTATTTACCCTGGGTTTCTATATAAAGTGGGGGTGGGTCCATGATGATGGGCTGGCAAGCCAGCCACACCTTCAGTGCCTGAGAACTAGTATCCGGGTGTCAGGTGGAAGGAGCCTTGTGAGCGGAGATGTGGAGAGGGCGTTGTTAAAAAAAGGTGAAGACTGCTGAGAGGTGAGGCTGTCTCAGGCAGCAAGAGGCACCGGCTTTGGGTTCTGAAGAGACCATTTCAGTCTTGGATTGCGGGACAGTGGCAGAAAGGCAGGTAACAACACTGAGCTTCCAAGGCAGGAGAAGGCATACTGGCTGTGGTGTCCTGCGGGTCTTCTAAGTGCCGGCACTCTGCTGGGTTCCTTTTGCCCCATTGTGCATTCTGGCCCTTGCAGCCCTCTGGTTGGTATTATCTTTGTCCCAGTTTTGTAGATAGATTGAGATCCGGGTAGTGGGAGTGACTGGCTGAAGGCCGCCTAGCTGGGGGCTGTCCCTAAGGCAGTGGGGCGAGGGAGAGGGTGTGTATAAGCTCTGGGGGCCCGCCAGGCAAGCTCTCCAGCAAAATGCCAAGGAGTGGGTGGAGTTGGTTGCAGGTGGTGGGATTGCCCACCGGGTTATGCAAATGGGCCGATGTGGCCTGCAGCCCTTTGCCCTGAGAGAGGGGTTGCTGCTGTTCCCTGGTGTGGTAGACTGGAAGTGGGGAGGGCTAGTGGGAGAAGACATTGTTCTTTGGTTGAAGGAGGCACGTAGGAGACAGACTGCTAGAGTTACCCTCCTCCACCCTCCCCAAGCTAGAGGCTGCTCATTGTCAGCTCCAGAGCTCACATTTGCAGACAGTGCAGGTGGTACCAACAGGTAGCAGTCCTCTTCTGACTCTCTTTTCTGGGAGCCCCTTACCTGAGGGAGGGCCTGGGTTCCAGGTTATTCCCTTGCTCCTACCCCGCGCTGTAATTCATAATGCCATGGAAGAGCCGACCTGAGCAATTCCATGTGCCAGGCACTGGGCTGGGCTTCCTGGCCTGGGCACTTTAGCTGTGTCAGAGGGAGGAACCAGTCCCTGAAAGAAGAAGAGTAGGAACTGACTCACTGGGTGACACCTAACAACCAGGGGTGCCCACTGGGGACCTTTCGTGGAGGGTCTGCCTCCGTTAACTCCCGGCCTCAGAGTATCTGGACACCAGCCAGGAAGGCTTAGGAGTTGAGGCAGGTGGGGGTCCTGGTCATTTGGACAGAACTTGCCAGAAGCCTTGAACAAATGACCTGGGATAAAGACAGTAACACCAATTGATGTGTGTATGGATTGTGATAAGAGTTGTATGAGCCCCCAATAAAATGATTTTTTTAAAAAGACAGTAACACTAGGTGTGCGCTGAACTATACAGCCCCAAAGCCCTTTGGATGTTTCATTCCATCTGCCGCCAGCCTGTGTGCTGGGCAGTGGGGTCTTCTCCATTTGGAGGTCTTGAGAGGTTTAGTGGCCGTGATGACCAAAGCTGGTAAGCATCTAGCGCCCTTACTGGACTTAGGGTGTTTTCTCATTGACTGCTAATGGCAATCTTGTGAAGTAGATATGGTTATGGGTTCATAGAACCGATGAAGAAAACTGAGGCACAGAGAGGTTACGAAAACTGCCTCAGGTCACACAGCCAGTAACCAGTCAGGACTTCCAAGACCTGGCTCGGGTTGGGTCATCGTCCCACCCTCTTAGACCAGCAGAGCTGAGGCCTCTTTGAGGATGAACAATAAGTCCAGCGTCTCAGTTGATTGTCTCACAGGCGCATACGTACATTAGGACTTACGAGACGGACACTTGGACTAGGTGTCGCTTATTGCATGTCATTTATGACCTCAATAAAGCTGGGGGTGGGGCAGGGAGGGAGAGAAGAACTTCCTGGTTGAACATGTCCTTCAGGAAACCAAAGGCCGCACTGGGAGGCTACGTGGCCATCCTCTTGCCCAGGGACATACCCGCAGAGCTACTGGTCAGATTTTAGGTGGCTTTGGCAAGCTGCTTCTCAAATCCCGATACCTGCTAGGCATAGACTTGCCCAAGGTTGGCACAGGGTAAACTGACCGCCATCGAGTCCATTCCAAGTCAAAGCTGCCCTGCAGGACAGAGCAGAACTTCCTCGGTGTGTTGCTCAGACCAAGACTCATCTTTTTCCCTCAGGACAGTGGTGGTTTCGAATTGCTGACCTTGTGGGTAGCAGCCAGACGCTTAATCCACTGTGGCACCAGAGCTCCTGGCACATGGGCGGTGCCTATCTCTCGACTAAATGAATTGAGACCCCAGCGACAGTCCCTCCTTGTCCTCCCCCCGAGCTCAGTCACTCGGTCAGACACGTCACTCTCACAGCATGGTCAGAAGGGAAAAGAAGGCAGACGCAGGACCTGCATTGAAAGTCCCACAGTCAGGCCTGGGTGGTGGGCGGCGGGAGTTTCAGCCATGGAATGTACAAGTACACAGAGGGGTCAGTGGGGGTCTGAGGAGCTGGGGAGGGTCTCCTGGACACTCTGGTGGCTCCGGAAAGATGGGTGAGGTTGAGGTGAGGTGGGAGGAAGCAAGCAGCAGGGACAGATCTGGCCAGACCAGGCTGTACTGGGCCGGCGGTGGCCAGATAGCGCAGAGGCTGTAGCAGTTGGAGCCATGGCAGCTGGGTCATGGGACAAGGACTGCTAGGGAGTTGCTGGTGGGCTCTCCAGGGCTGGACCCTGGTGGGATACAAGTTTTGGCAGGTGCTGAGCCTGTGTGTTTATGTAAAGGAGCTCAAGGGTGGGCTTGGAATGGGAACCCCAGGGGTCTTTGAAGAAGCACAGCAAGGACTTCTAGGACTGTTGTAACCAGTAGCACAAACTGGGGGGCTTAAAGCAACACAAGTCTCTTTGTTCACCCCCAATCTTATAGGCTAGAAGTCTGAACTCAAGGTCCCTGCAGGCTCTTGCTCTCCAAAGGGTCTAGGGCAGCGGCTCTCAACCTGTGGGTCACGACCCCTTTGGGGGTCAAATGACCCTTTCACAGGGGTCGCCTGATTCACAACAGTAACAAAATGAGTGATGAAGTAGCAAGGAAAATAATTTTATGGTGGGGGGGTTGTCACCACAACATGAGGAACTGTATGACAGGATCTCAGGCTTAGGAAGGTTGAGACCACTGGTCTAGGGAAGGGTCTTCCCTGGCTGCTTCCTAGCTTTTTGCTGGCTGCCAGCAATTCATGGGCCCCTTGGCTTGTCACTGCACTCTGCCTCCTTCGTGTGACCATCTTCACTCTGTCGTCCTTGTGTCCAAATTTCCCCCGCTCATCGGATCAGGGCCCACCTGAATCCACGTGACCCCATCTAGACTGGGGTGATTCTCAGATTGGGTCACCTGCACAGTGCGCACATTGTTTTTTGGGGGTGGGGAGGGAATACCCGTGCAACCCCCATACCTTCCTTCTGCAGCAACAGAAAAAACCGTGTTGCTGTTTGTAAGAAGTGAGAGACAGGCTGAGTGTCCCACTCACAGCCGGCCTGTCACCTAGGAGCCCGCGGGAGGTCCCTGACCACCCGAGTCAGAGCCTACCCGTGGACACAGTCCCCAGGTAGCACAATACAATTTGAGAAGTGATGCTCCTGTCACCATTGGAGTTTTTTGTTTTTTTTTCTTTCTCACCACTGTCAGCCCGGCCTATCCACCTTTGGGCACAGGTTGGACTGGTTGGCAGCCAGGTCCCCACACTGCCCTTTGCTCGCCTCTCTTCATGGCATGTGTCCTCACGTTTCTCTTGCTGTGGGGGGTTGGTACCCATGGGTCACCGCTGCGCCGCCTTTCTGGAGAACAAGGAGCTGGCTGAGCCGGTCCCTTTGTTGGCCCCTGGACGGTGGCCAACTTTCTGCCTGCCTGTAAACATTGCTGCCTCAGACATCTTACCACCCCTTTGGGGCTATTTTGTTAAGGTGGAATTTGAGCATCAAGATGCCCCACCATGGGGGATCCTAGTCCCACTCTGTTGGACCAGGGAGTAGCCATC